GAATCATAAGTATAAAATTTTTAACTTATAAACACTCTTCTATATTTTATGATATTCATTTCAATGGTTTATTACAAAATTTCCGAATATTTCTTTTTGATTGGCTCTTATCGAGAATTTATTATAATATATTTTTGTAATTTTCATAAATTTCAGCATGAATTCAGTGGACAAAAATATTTTATAGGCAAATTTTATATCATAAATTATTAGTAATAAAGGTTATTTAGCTCTAATGGTTTTTAAAAGACACTTGAAATTATATAATTAAATACAAAATTATTTTAAACATTAAACAATAGCTCTAAAAACTTTTTGTAATTAATTAAAAAAAAAAATTCTGAAACATTTTAACAATTGAAATTTTCTCACTATACGCCAATTCAAAAAAAGTGAAATGTAATATTGATTTTGTAATTTAAACTAAAAGAGAAACACAAACAAGAATAGCGATGAAAAAAATTTTTAACTAGTATATTTGAATTTAATTAAGATTGAACAATAGTCTTACAACAAAAATTTAGATTTTTTAAAATTTTTCGTCTGTAACAATAGGTGTTCAATATTTGATTCTACAATAATAAACTGGGACTGGATACCATCAATTATTTTTACAGTATCGCAAAAATATTACCGAATCATTCAAATTCAAATTTTTCTTTTGCTTCGTCTCATTCAATTGGTTTAAAATAAAAATCATTCAAAAACAAAAAAAAAAAAATATGCAGTTATAAAAGAATCTAACATCTACTCTGGAAATTAATTTATATAATTGAATCAAGATTTCGTGCCCAAGCATATGAAATATTAAATATTGTAAATATGCAAAATATGTATAAAATCGAAATTCATTAAAATAATTTAAATTCAAAATTTTGTAATCTGATTTGACTTTATTAAGGGATGCTTTTTGAACCAACGCACCTTACTAGGATATGCGTATATGATATACGGTTAATAATAAGGTATAACTCGATTATTAATAAGGAAAATTTAAGTATAGATTCTAATATTAATTTTAATAATTTAATCCCGGCAATGCAATAAATTTTTAAATTTAATGCCGAGAAGGTTTATATAAACTTGTTTAAAAATTTTTAAAATACCATAACAAGAACATAATTTCCTAAGACGTACATTATTTTATTGCAACCTTACAGCATTCATAATACTCATTTGACAATTGATATCAAACGTATGTACGATTATAATTTACAAACCATTGGATATCCTTAAGGAATAAATAAAAGAAAAAATACATTCTTTATTACGCACACATATACATATGCATTTGCAAATGTTAGAAAATCTATATGAAATCTCTTTATTTTTATTCAAAAATTGTGGTTGCATCGCTCATATATATATTTAGAAAATCTTTTAATAATATTCCCCATGGGATGATATATTACGAGAGGGGTTAAAAAAGGACTTCAAACTCTGATATCTTTTTTATCTTAACAAATATAAATTTATTTTAAATATAAAAATTCATTACCAGAACAAATTTTTGATTTAAAAATAAAAAATATTAAAAGACAAAAAAAGCAAAAGTAGAAGAAGACAATACAGAGTTCAACTTTCCCGTTAAATACAAACACAAGTAAATTATAAAGAATCAAGGGAACGGATAAGTAAACAGAAATTTCAAAATTTTATTTAATAGATAAAAAACGTATCTAAATTAATACTTTGCATTTTACACAATAATTGTGTTGAATAATACAAAAAAAACAAAAAAAAAGAATCAAAAATTTATTGTAAAAATTTTGAAAAAACCAGGAAAAAAATATCAAAATTTTCATATCCTATTTACGTGTGTTTAAGAGTTTTGAGAAAAATTAAAAAAGAAAAAAAAATTAATATACACCAAAAAATGACACCAAATTTTAACCCGCATATTTATTTTCAAGTACACATAGTGTTAACTTATCTCATGAATTGTATCAGAGGAAGTACTAATGGTAGAATATTTTACAGTTTTAATGTCCTTACATTGCCTTTATAATTGTAAAATGCGGTTTTTGTGGTTACAACAACACAAAAACAAATATATACAATTTTACTATTTAAATTTGAGCTTGGTGCTTATTTTAAAACAGGGTGATTCTCGAATATACATTGGGAAATTTTTTTTCAAAATTATTTTCAGACCATTTCTTAAAATTCTAAATTTGCACATTTTACAAAGCTTTTAAACAAAAAAATGAATATACTTTGAATAAACAACGTGATGACGGTACATAAAATAAAAAGTCTAAAAACTGCAGTTGACTTCATAACGGAGCTTTTTTTATAGCAATCTTCAAGAGATCTTGAATGACAATGTTTTATAATATTTTTAAATCTTCCCGCTTGCAAGGTTGAAACGTTCTCTCTTCCATACTTGAAGACACCGAGAAGTACGAGGCTTGAATTAGTGCTCTAATGGTTATTCGCTTAAGGTATTTTTCTGTCTCTTTAAGGTTTCGTTTCTCTTGGCACGTTATGCAATTTCGGCAAACATAATTTTTCAGATCGAAATCATTTCATCTTCCAGTGATTACCTCTCGTTTTAAAATAGCTAGAGCACGTTGCGGAACGAAATTAAGGAATTTCGCCGTTTTTCCAAGTGCTTTGGCTTTCTCTTCCGCGTTTGCACTACTATTTGTGCAGTCATCAGCATCAATGCTACGTTACCGTTATGTCGATAATTTATAGAATATCTAAAAATAAAAATAATTAAACAATATTTTACATATTTTAGACAACCTACACAATAAACTACCTCTTTATACCATACTAATTTGAATATTTTCTAGGACATTGTGTACTATTTGTACACATTTTACACATTGGTGAGTAGCACGTAATATGGAAGTAAATTTTTAACAATAAAAGACGAAAACAGGGGGACGATAAGAGGACTACATACTTTGTATAATAAACTTCTAATATTTCGTTTTCTGTTGTTTTTTTATTAAAATTCTGATGGAAAGGTAAATTAATTTTATTCTGTATTTGTTTTTGTGCTTTTCCTATTTATGCTTTTGTTATTTTTTAGTCCCTAGAACAAATTTATAGGATAACACGAGAAAATAAGTAAAGAATGACTTTGAAATTTAATGTAAAAACTACCTATGTAAATAAATACCCTAAGATGGTAATGGTATAAGTCGACTTTGTAAGACTGTGCATAAATACATACATGCAAACAGATAAATATATATACATATATGTATATAGTTTCAGGATCTATTCGATACTATTCGTATAGGTTCATTAAAATATGAATTAAAAAAGAAAAGAAAAAGGGATGAAACCGAGGATACAAAATAACAACAAATTAAAAAAGAAAACTAAGCAGAACATAAGAAAAAAAAAACGAAAAGAAAAAGAAATTAATTTAAACCGCATTCATAGGACAAGACAAACAAGAGATTACAATCAGGAATGAAACCACCAGACAGTACAAAAGGGAATCCACTGAATTCTTTTGGTAACAATAACTAGGATAAAATAGGGAAAAAACTTTAGTATATTTTTTTGTTTTGTTTTCATTTTTATTCTTATTTCTACTACTGCTATTATTATTATTGTTATTATAATTCGTATTGTCCTTTTTTTCTATATAAGCAAGTGTATTTTGCTTCCCTTATTGTATAATTTTGATTTTTTTGGTATTTTTTTAGACTTATTAAAGCACAACAGCCGCAAGCAATTTGGATAAAAGCTTAAAATTTTGTGGATTTTCATTTGAAAATTTTCTCTCTGCCTTGATTTCTTATTTTTTCACTTGTTTTTTTAGGGTATCGTCGACTTTTTATTCGATTTAAACAACAAGAATAAGAAAACAAAAAATATTATAAATTAAAAATTAAATAAGAAAAAATATAAGGAGTGAATGCATATTCATATTTCATTTATTCATTTGCTTAAAGATTTTTAAAAAGGATATTAAAATTTTAGAATATTTAATTTATTTTCTTTTTAAAGAAAAAAATTAAAATTTAAGAAAATGTTTTAATTTCTAATAAAACTTTTAATATGTATTACAATTTAAATCAGTAATGAACCGATGAAATAACAATATATTAAAAATTAATTTGAATTTCAATTATGGTTATTTTACTTCATGGTTTACTATAATCAAGGGACAATTATCAAAAATGTTGTGGTAGTTTTTTGGGAAGTAATGGAGAAAAGGCTATTAATAACATAGAACTAAACTCTAGGCAAAAAAAAAATAAGAATTTCAAAATCTTTTGAACCAGTGCATGAATGCTTAAATCTCTTTAAGATAATTAAGTATTAAAATAATTAAGATAATTAAATAATTCAAACTTTATAATTTACAATAGCTGGAGAAAATTTTAGAGCAAAATAATATCCATACGTAATTTCTTAATTTTTCCATTCTGCTTTTCGTTTTATTTTATAAACAATTGTGAGTTATAAATATGAGATTAGGTTAAAGCTAAATTACAAACTTTTAGTAGTATTTGAAAGGTTGCATATAAAATTATAATACAATACGTTTTGGCCGTGTTGGTCCTTATACACAACGCGCAATGAACATACATTAGGCTAATTATTAGGGGAATAATAATACATAAGTACTACAAGCAAACACAATATAAATGGAAAAATATTTATGAAAACGATAATCTTTTAAAATCTTATTCGATTTTACTGAATTTATAAGGAAGAATTTGTAGCTTTAAAATTTAAATCTTGTCAGATTTATGTCTATGCCATTCAGATTTATGCCTTGTCAGATTTATGTACCCCATGCTTCACTTACTATTTAAGCATTATCTTTTAAGAAAATGTATGTTAATAAACATTGTTGATTAAATATTTAGCAACATTTTAAAATTTCTTCATATTATCGAAAACCCAAACCATTTCTTTTTTCTCTCACTCAACAATAAAATTATATCACCAAATATCAACAGTAACAATTCCATACATCAAAAGACTCCAACTTCAACAATAATAATAAATTTTTTTAAGCTCACCAATTCGCCTTGTATTTTAATGTTTCCATATCTTCATGTTCTTCAATACTTTTATTCTCAAAACATTGTTGTTGTTGATTTCGTATATATTTCGATTGTGGTTCTTGTATCTGCTTATTCAGAATCAATTGTTGATTAAAATGTGTTGTTGACTGTGATTCAACTATAGGTGAATTAATTTGTTCCGAATTCTCTTGTGGTTTTGAAATCAGCAATAATTTCTGTTTTTCTTTTAAATATTGTTTGTAACGACTTAAACAGAAAAATAATGTTAAAATAGATTTTAATCGTCCAGAATAAATTTCATATGCTGTTATTTCTTCTGTTCCATCAATTGAATGAGTACGTAGTGTTGTTAGACAAGAATGAACGTTTTGAATCTGAAATATAGAAAAAAAAAACTGTTAATTAAAAATATTTCATTTACAAATTGTAAGACATTATTTATTGTGGATAATTATGTTTAAAGCATTTAATTTCAAATAGTTTAAAAATTTGGTTCTCAATTATTTACCAACTGCAAAACAAGTATAAATAATATTACTAGTATAATAATAGTATAAATAATTTTACTAGTAAGTAAAGGAATAATATGGAAACATTTTTGTACCACAGATCTAAATAGTCAATGTTCTCATTGATAACAATTATAATCTCGCAACACTTGCAATCTAGTGCTTCTCCATTATAAGTTGAACAAATGTTTAATAAGCTCTTGTTCGCACAATTGTTAGTATTTGTAAAACATTTTTATCTATCTACTATATAAAATTAATTAAATTAACATCTATTTAAAAATCTTATAACAATGACTTACATAATTATTGCTTTCTGATTTGAAAATTCTTTAATTAACAATTAATTTATTTTTTCAATTAATACGCTAATTGTTATATCGAATTTTAGTTAATTAAAGTATAAATATTTTTTTTATTATTTCCAATAGCTACCACATTAATTGTTAAGCTGAAATACAACATAATTAAGGCACAAATCTGTAACAATAGAAATAACAATGTTTGCCAGCACAAAAAAAAATTGTATTGCAACTGCGAATGTTTACAAAATAATATGAGCAAAAAACATAAATAGTAAATCACATACAACAATCAAGCCAATCATGTAAGTATAAGTATGTTTGCATGTCACAATTAATATATGATAATATTTAAAATTAAAAGTGGTTCGAGGCAAAAATATTCTTGGGAAATTAATCAAGTCAATCATTCATTCACTCTTATTGAAAACACAGCACAAAAAAAAGAAAAACTTTTCCGAAAACAATTATATTTTTTACTGTCATAACAATAACTTTAGATAACAATGCAAAACAAATTTCAATATTATATCGTTCGGTTGATTTCATCTACAGATTAAACCGTGATATTTTTTTTTTGTAATTTTTGTTTTGATAGAAAAAATCTCATAACATTAACGAATTGCAACCAATTATTACCTACTACAATAATAAATCTATTCACCTTTAACACTAAATCAAAGTTTACAGTAAAACTTAATAACTATTTCTCTACAAATGACCTTTAAAATTTTTCACTATATCGAAATAAAATGATTGAATTGAGAATCTAAATATTATGTAAGTATGTTTGTATGTACTTATTATGAATTCAATTCGTTTCGAATAAAAATTTTCAATTCCCTTTCTTGATTTTAATAAAAAAAAATTTAAATCGATTTTTCAATATTAAAAATATTATTGGCATAAACAAAAATCAGAAACTTTTTTTGTAAAGTACATAAAAAGTCAGTAATCGAAAAGTTTTTATAAATAAGGAATTTTTAAAATTGTAGAAGAAACAATAATGGTGTTGCCAGAAAAGTTAGTCTTGTAGTTTACTATAAAATATACTTAGTATATAGAGAACAACAGTGTTCAAACGTGGTTGAAATGTTGGATTTTTCCACCCCATAAGTTATACGAAAAAACATCTCAGCACTTGTTATTAAATTACTCTCTTACTTCATTTACTGACTTCATTTGCGACCTCTAGAATCCGTTTACGAGCTGGTTTGCTAATAGCAATTTTTTGAATATCCATGTTGTAAAAAATAAATATTAATATATTATGCGTCGAGTTCCATGAATGAAAGCACAATTTATTCAAAATACTTATTTGCTTGACCACAAAATCTATAGTTATAATACGTTTAAATTACAAGATTTTTTCCTTCTACACATTTTTGCAACATTCAGTTTTCATAAACGCTTGCCTCATTTTTCCAGTTTTTTTTTCTTCTCTGTTCATTCCCGGTGAGGACATAGAACTTCAGAATATCGTATGAATAGTAATAGTGCTCTGTTTTGGGCTAGGCACTTTATTTCTAACCTACATTTTCCATTTGCTTCACCCTCCTTAAGTGTGATTCATCGTCACGTCTTACAAGGCCTACTCGCTTTCCTTTTTTTTATGTGAATTCCAATCTAATATCTGTCTGGATACCGTATTCGGCCTTTGTAACGTATGTTCCAGCCATCTTGACTTTTTTCATTTTATAGCCCCGTTTGTAGATTTCTAATCTATAATCGATCATAGTTCGTTGTTTGGTAGTATTCTCAGCTCTCTGACAGGACAAACATTTCTTAAAAGAAAACTATAAGCAAAAGTAAATTTTTTAAACAAAATTTTATCTAAAAGAAATATAATTTGGAATCTGGCAATACTGTTTTAAATTTATTTTCTAATAAATTAACTTTAAAGCGAACTTTTCATCAGATTGTCGCTCTATATTTTTGCTCTATACAATGTGAACATAGATACATACATATAAATGTACATAATAGCGATCATTATCAATAAACTGATTTGATTCACAATAATTTTAAGTCATGATCAACTCTCTGTGCGTAAGAAAGAACTCAAGTTATGGCAAGTTAAAGTTGATTCACAAAATTTCATTTTTTTTATTATAAGTAATTTTTTGACGTTTTTTTTTAAGAGCTTTGACCTTCAAGGTTTTGAATTCTTTTTTGCTGTTCTTTTTGTTTCAGTTTTCAATTTTAATTTTTTAATCATGTAATTTTTTTTACTACAATTCGATATGCCTTGCGGCAAGACATGCTTGTTTTACTTTTCTTAAAGAAAATATTGTATAAATAAATTCAAATTAAGTACATACATACATACAAATTATGTTTAGATGTAGGTTTGTTTGTGTGTATAATTTTTGATACATTTATGTAAGTATTCATATAGAATTTCTATATAGATTTGAAAATATTATTGAATTTTGCACGCAATAAATCTTTGACTAATTGAATGATTCTTTCAGTTTTTCTTGAAGATGAAGAGCGAAAAATATCGACATTCTTCCGCGTATCGCTTCTATTCGATCTCTTCAGTTTTGAACTCTTTAGCATCATAACTTTTTAATTTCATGTTTTTATGAGGTTAATGATTGAAATATTTCGATTTTTTTTTTTTTTGAGTAAAAACTCATAATTTATGATAAGAAGTGAGAGTGATTCATCATAACTTTGGTGATTTTTAATGTCAAATTAATTGAATACTTTTAGAATTTGGATTGTGGAATGTTGGTTCTTGATGAGTAATAATTTAAAAAAAAAAAATAATTTATTTTACTGTTACTGTTAAAAGAAATGGGGAAAAAAAAGAAACAAAAAAAAATAAATTGAGTTGACTGTAAAAAAAATTTCATTCTAAAATTTTTTTTTATTGTGAATTTTATTGGTTTACAGCTTTTAAAAAGCACGTAAAATTGAATGGAGAAAAGAATTTTCTCATTTTTGGACGATAAAATATGAGAAAGTATAGTTAATAAATAGAAATAGAACAAATTTTAATTAAGTAGAAGATTATTTTACATACTCTACTGAAACAAAATCAGTTCTAAACTGATTTTTTCTCCCGAAGAGAGTAAATATAACCGACAATTTGTAAATTTTGTATGTAAGTTTATAAGTTATAAAAGTTTAATGCGGTCTGTTTCAGTATGGCCATAATAAGTACAACTTTTCGATAAGAAGGTGTTGAGTTCATTTCAGTTACTACAAATTTATGTAGAAACTCTACAAATTGAAGCCAAGTTAAGTTCTTAATATGCAACTTTTGCCAGAAATTAAATTTAAATACAAACTAATAAACAACTTTTAAAAAACTATAAGTGAAAAGAGACTAACTAAAAGCACTAACTAAGTAAGTATACTCAGTTACGGTAATTTTTCTTACACGAAAAATTTTATTCATTAAAGAGGACAGAGGTTAATTTAATTAAATCATAATAAATTTTAACGATATTTCCAAAAATTTCAAATCAATATTTATAACAATAACAAGTTGTTTTAAAATATTTTTCAAATTCTTATTGTAATTAACGCTAATTTGTAAATTAAATTATTCTAATTTATTAACACCCCAACATATTCTCTTTCATTCATACAAATTTTTAGACACAAGTATACACGTAATACAAGTGAAATAGAATATTTTCTAATAAAGGTGCTTTTTAATTACTTGTATTATACTATAAAGCTTATTTATTTCACTAAATCACGATTTTAGGAACAAAGTCCAATACTAAAATAATTTATTACACATACATACATATATATACATATATATATATGCTTCTAAATTAACATTTCAAAAGTATCGTACAAAATAGTAGAGCTCCAGCACGACATTTTCAATATCTTATATAAAATACAAATAATAGAATAAAATAAATTAAAAACAATTAACTGAATTAATTAATTTGTGATGAAAAAAAAAAAAAGTTTCTTTTTGTTGTTTTGCGCAATTCAAATGCTAAATTTTAAATCATCTTTTTTATAAAATTTGCATATTAGGTATAAATAAATATGTATGTACATATATAGAAATTAAGATCATGAAAATTTGAATTTGCTTACTTTGCGGTACGAGCATAAAATATAAAAAGTTTAAACCGTAAACAGTGAGAAATAGATTAAAACTTAACATAAAGAATCATACACGCAGGTGTACAGACCTGCCGTTGCTCTTACTATTAGAGCAATTTGGTAATATGAAATAGCCAAATTGATCTAATGGGAGCGATGGTTTTTGGATAGGATAAGTAAGGAACTAGGTAGCAGACGAAATCGTGAGACGTCTACCGTAACTAGTAGGAGTATCACGATTCTGAATGATAAAGTGCGTGGATCACATTCCTTTCAAGTGTTTGTTTCTGACAGAAACGAGAAAATGTATAATAAAAGTGTTCTGCTATAACGAGTTATAGGTATTCCTTTTCCGAGATTTTTGATATTTGCAAACAAGCGGTTTTATTAAAATAGATTAATTGCGACAATGTGAAGCAATATATTAATGATATAATCAAAACACTTAAGTATATTTGAAACGAACAACGTAATGGCATA